TTAACAAAATGTTTATAGACAAGAAACCAACATGAGGAAGAGGTTGAGGAAACGTTTTCTTCAAAGAACTAGAGCTACTTAACCTGGAAAAAAGAAGACTGAAGTAAGCCCATCTTCCACCCAATCTTTGAATAATCTGGGACTCAGCAGAGCTGGGACTAAGTGGGGACTACAGAAGAAAGGGGCCCTCAAGAGCACACCAAGTTCCTATGGAGATGATGCTACAGAAGCTGGGAGATTCCTATGGGGGGTGGTGTGAGGAGAGAAGTAGCGATAAGCTGGAATTCAAAGAACATTCTGATAAAGAACAACAGCAACTCTGGTTGAAGAACCTTCCCCCCTTTTCAGCACAGTGACTATATTCAGTCTTATTCAGTAAGTGTACATAAAATAAATTCAATAATCTACTTTTTACTAATTCTTTTATGTTCATGTCCTTTTATGGCCAAATTGCTATCCATCTTCTCTCTTCTCTAAACCTCCCAACTACTAGGCTGCCCTTTACCTTCTGAGGACTTCCATGCCTTCCACAGGTCCTCCACACTGATGAGCTTATCCTCACCATGGAAGGTACTGTGTTTCACTGTTGGGTCATGGTAATTGAGATCTTCCCTCAGGAACTGCAAGGCAAAATCATACAAGTTATAAGAGATACCTGGGAGACAGCCCACCAAGATCTCCACACAGATCATCTGCTTCCAGCTATACATGGCACCAAATGCAAAAATGTATCATATCACTCATGTATCTTTCCATATGCATATGTCTTAGTTGTGAATGAGACTACTTTTCTTCTTTGTTATGTGTTTCACGTGAAAAAAAAATAAATAGAAGGCTGGATGTGGTGATCCCAGCTATTTGGAAGGTAAAGACAGAAAGACATACAAAAACATATACATGATCATATATACATTTAAATGTAGAACATGTTTATAACAGTGGAACTACTTTATGGAACTCAGGGACAGAGGGAAAGGAAAGAGAATGATAAGAGTCAACAATATCAAAATACATTACATCTGTGCAGGTAAAGGATTATAGTGATACGTATTGAAAGCTGTTGAATAATGGAATAGGAGGGAAAGGGTAAGGGAAAGTAATAAGATGGGGTTGAACTGACCAAAATAAAGTATATTCACAGCAGTCATACATTGAGAAACCCCTTTGAACATTGACTTTAGAATTAAAAATGAAAGATGGGACCTGAAAATAGGTACGGGGGTGGGGTGCAGGGAGTACTGATAGGAGGAGGGAGGGTGAATGGAGGAGATTAAGGTGGTTGATAGGCTTCATATAAGATACAAAAATAGGGCAACAAACTTCTTGCAATTGCTCTAAGTGAGGTGAGAGGGAAGGTGGTGGGGGTAATCTAACCAATGTATAATGTAAGGCTATTTGGAATTGGCACAATAAATTCCCCCTGTACAATGAATATATGCTAATAAAAATGAAAGTTAAAATAAAAGATTTTAAAAAATGGTTCAAGGACAGCCCAGACAAAAGGTAGACAGACCCTGTCTCTAAAACCAAAGTAAAAACAAAAGGACTGGGGACATAGCTCAAGTGGCAGAAAACACTTGCCTAGCATTTTGAGGTCCTAGGTTCAATCCTCATTAGTGTAAAAATAAATAAATAATTAAAAATTCTTCATACCATTTTTTAATTATGGAAAGATAATAAATGATAGTTAATTGGAATTCAATAAGGTAGAAGAGGGAAGAAGAATCAACATTTTTGAGTGCTTCTTTATACAGTAATATTTCAAGAACTTCCACTATACTTTCTTACATAATCTTCATAACCAATGAATTATCACACCTATTTTACAAATGAGAATAGTAATACTCTCAAATATAATATATTTGCCCCAATTCACTTTACGTTTAGAGAAGTTAAATTACTTGCTATGATGATTTTAAATATACCCACAAATTCTTTGATGATCCTCCCATTAAAAGTAGACACCCCAACTTTGAATGTAAGATGACATTAGCAACTCATTATTATGGTTTAGATAAGTATCCTCCAGAAGTCCATGAGGTAAAGGCTTGGTCCTCAAGGTATCACTGTTTGTAGTGGAATCTTTAAGAGGTTTGTCCTTGTAAGAGGCCCTTAGGTTGTTGGGGGCATACCCTAAAAAGGGATTTGTGAGGCCACAATCTTCCTTTTCCTCTTTGCCTCCTGCGTCATGATATAAGTAGTTTGCTCTGCCATGCTCTCCCATATGATATGCTGTCCTAATCAGAGGGCTAAAGCAATGGGGTCACTAAATTTTAGACTGGAATCTCCAGAACCATCAGTGAAAATAAATCTTTTCTCTTTATAAGTTAATTGATGTAGGTTTTTCATCAGTGATAAAGAACTGACTATATACTCATCTTTTAGTAAACAAAATGTGGCAGTAGTAATATTGCATGATTCCCAAGGCTAGGTGAGAAAAAGTAATATGGATTCTACCTGATAGTTTCTCTTTTGGGACACATACATAGGAATCCCTGAGTCAACATGCAAAAAAACTGGCTACCCTGAAGTCACTATTCTAGACAGATCATGTGCAAAGATCACAACGATACAGAAGAACATCTGAGCAGCCCCAGCTATTTAAGTATTCAAGTCTAGAAGAAAGACATGTGAGTGACAGAATTCAGGTGATTCCAGCCCCCAGGTTTTAAGTCAGTTCATGTGAAATCTAATGGATATTGATAACCTCTCTCTATTGAGCCATACCCCAGTTGGAACACATGAGCAAAATAAATGTTGTGTCAAGGCTCTGAGTTTTTGGAAGGTTTGTTACACAGCAGTAGGTAGATGGAACACTTGCTCATGGTTACATCTGATAAGTGATGGAGTTACTACTCTAACCCAAGATGACTGGCAAAGTACAAATCTTTCCCCTAAATATGCTCTTCCTTAATCTTCTGGAATTTTCTTCCACAATATACTTATACACATATAAAGAAAAACAAAGGAAATCAGAGCTTTTAGAAAATTAACTAGTAACTAACTTCATAATTTATTCAGCTTTATCCTTTAACTCACTGATATGTATTAGGCATTAATCACTGCTTTCTACAGATCCTCAACTACCAAAGAAACACACAATTCTAAATATATTTTAGTAACATTTTTAGGAAACATCTCTTATCCATCTTTCTCTTCCCTCAGGTCCAGGAAAGAGTTTGACCCAGAATAATGCCAGTAAACACTGCTGACTAAATGAATGGCCCCAGATTCTTAAACACACTATCAAAAGCAATCTATGAATTTCTGTGGACAGAAATTCATTCATCCAGTCGTTCATTGTGTGTGTGTGTGTGTGTGTGTGTGTGTGTGTGTGTGTGTGTGTTAACATGGAGTCTTGCTACGTTGCCAAAGCTGGCCTTGAATTCTTGGGCTCAAGCAATCCTCCTCCCTCAGCTTCTCAAGTAACTGGGAATTCAACATATATTTAATGAAGATTTCCATGTACTGGTTATAGTTCTGGATTCTAGAGATACATGCAGTAAATAATAAATAAAAGACAAAAATCTTACTCCTCATTGAGCTATTAACAGGTATCTTACCTGTTACGTTTTTACAAGCAAAAATGCTAAAATCTCCAAGAAAGGGGATTTTTCTGCAATTATTAGATAGCTCCAGAAAACCATCTGATGAGAGTTACCAGTTGCTTATAGGGAACCAACAAGAAATGGACTGCTTTTTATAGTCAAGTCTGACTGAGAGGAGAAAAGCTCAAAAAAAGCATAAAAGGTATCTGCACAGAAACTCACACATAAGACCCTATTGGTGTCACAAAACATACAAAGAAGGAATAGGGTCAGAAAACAAGGCTAGCAAGAAGATGATGTCAGATGAGAGACTTGACAAATGTGAAGGAAGGGCCTAATCCTGAAGAGAACCTCTTTAGAAAACAAGGAAGTGAGGCTATAATAATCATGCCTGTAGAGTCAGAAAGGCAATAAACTATAAAGAGTTCAGAGTCTGTTAAATAAAAAATAGGCCACTTACTTCCTGTGTGGCTTTTGGGCAAGTCTCTCTTAGCTTATTATCAGTCTCTCTTAGCTTATTATCCTCTCAAATTGAGAGCTCATCATAACTCTCTTTGAGAGTGATAAAAATTAAATGAGGCATGTTTGCAGAACTCATAAGCTACCTCTGCATGGGTCTTTTATTGGCCTGCAGAGCATATTGTAAAGTTGAACCCAAGTCCAGTTTTTCAGGCTATTTTTAAGAAAAAAAAAAAGTAAAGAACGAAGGGGGGGAGGGAGAAAGAGAAAGAAAGAGAAGAAAGGAAGGAAGGAAGGAAGGAAGGCTAGCAGAGTGGCTCAAGTGGTATTCGCTTGCCTAGCAAGCATGAGGCCTTGAGTTCAAACACCAGTACCACTCCCTCCCCAAAAAAGAAAAGAAAAACAAAGAAAAGAGAGGAGAAGAAAGGAAATCTAAGCCACGTATGGTGGCTCACATATTAATCCTAGTCCTCAAGAGGCTAAAGCAGGAAGAGAGAGAGTTTGAGGTCAGGGAGACATAGTGAGACTCTGCATAAATAAATAAGCAAATAAATAAATATTTAGCAGTACTGAGTTTCAGTAACTTCAGAATTTTATATACGAGAGATTTCAGGGAAAGACTGACTAGAAAGGAGAGGATAGTAGCCAAGGGACTTGTTATGAGGTTGTGTAGCAAACACACTTTCTATGTATTGTTCATTATAAATTAATTTTGAAAAGCATCATGTTATGAAGATTTTTTCTTCATGTTTTACTTAAAATTAAAGAAAATATCAAATTAATAATGAAAGAACAGGTCCTGTCTGGGGGTTGGCACCAGTGGGAAGGGGGAGGATATAAGGAAAGGATATAGGAGGGTGAATATGGTAGAAATATTATATATTGTTGCATAAGAATGGAAAAATGAAAACTGTTGAAACTGTTCCAGGAATGGGGGATGGGAATAAAGAAGAATGATGGAGGGGATGAATCCAACTATGATATATTGTTAAAAACTTTAGTAAATGTCTCAATGTACCCCCAGTACAACAATAATGAAAAAATATGTGACTTATGCCAATCCTATTCTCTCCTTTGGTTACCAACTTATTTATTTCCCTTCTTTACTCCTTATACTTAGCTGTCATAATGAGAAAGAAAATAAGCAGTTATTAGCAAAAAAAGACAGGACTGTAAAATAGGTACAGGGTGTGGCGGGGAGTGAGGCAGGGAGGGTGAATGAAGGAGACGAAGGTGAGGGAATATGGTAAATGGACTTCATGTATAAAATAGAACAATGAAACCTCCTGCAATTGTTTTCAGCGGGACAAGGAAAGGTTTGCGGGAATGGGAGGAGAGATGGTGGGGGCGATCTAACCAATGTACAATGTAAACCAAGTCGTAATTGTTCCAATGAATCTCCCCTGTACAATGAATATATCTTAATAAAAGTGAAGAAAAAAAAAAGAAAGAAAAATATCAAGTTTCCATATCAAAGGGGGGTAGCTTGGAGATAGGGGAGGTTGGTGCTAAAGCAGCTAACGAAGGCCCCCCCCACATCCCTTGGCATCACTCCTGGGTTTACACATCTACATAGCAACAACCTTCCAGACCTGAGCAGCAGCTGCCCTGTT